TTAGTAGCACACACTCACTATCCCTTCCTCAAGTCCAGCAAACAATCCCCAATCAGAAAGCATGTGACTTATGCTTTAGAAATTCCAGAATCTGTGGACCCTTAATCAAGGACTTTATTCCTTTAGTTACTGCCAGCTGGATTTTAGCAAGTACCATGGAGCCTACTGCATTTTATGTATCAAGCAGAAAGAAATGAGCCTCCAGACATTTCCGGGCTCATCTCCTGTTACATTTTCCATGAAATGACTCTCCATAAAGAGCAAGCAAGAAATATCCAGACTCATTTTTCATGACTCAGAGTTTTATTAAAGTAGACACACTGTGCAGAACTAAAACACTGTTTCACCTTTATCTACAGACTCAGCAGCCTTAAATTTCCACCCCATAGTATCCACCCCTCTTTAAATGGAAAAGCAGAGTTTTCCCAAGAGACTTATTTGAGAAATATGAAATATAATCATGATAACCATCAAAATGCAGAGCCTTCAAGATTCTTGTGCTTGGTAATGGATCATTTTCCATCATCACGATTCATTCTCATTCTTGGGTCTTTGTGGACAGAAACAGAGATGGTCTTAATTTTCAAAGTCATTCTTCCTCTATTCTCTGCATTCTTACAAAATAACACGGCAAAAAGAACAAACACATTTTTCTTGAAAAGTTTTTGAAGAAATGTAGTCATTAAAAAAGAATTTTAATTATGCCTAGAGCATCGCTTTACAGAACACCATTAAATTGTAATTATGGCACTTTTTTAAAAGCCAACTTGTTAAAGAGTGGCTAATGGTTTCAGTTTTTCTGCAGGGAATACTTGTCACACTGTAGAATTCAACCCGGGTATTCCTCTTGCGGGCAGAGAAAAATCACTCAAGGGTAAGACATTTTCATAACTTTTCACAAACCTGAAGAACAATTACTGACTAAGTCTCATGCTGTAAGTGACAACAGTATTTTTACAGGCAAACCCAGAGCACAATGCACTTCACTGAAAGCAGGCAGGGCAAACCTCTCATGAATTAACACCTATTCTATTCCACATATCACACAGTATCATCTTTGTCAATCTTTTAAAAAAGTATTCACTTGTGAAAAGTAGGGCCAAAATGCCAATGGTTGCCCTCCGATGAAACCTCAGTTACTAATAATTGCACATTTCAATCAACATCTCTTTTCAAAAGGTTATGCTGTAAAATTTCCAAGACGAGAACCTTTAAAACTTGAATTTCTCTAATCATTACCAGTCAACCTTGAACATTTATTAAGCTAGAAAAGTGGTCATGATTTACTCCACAATTAAAAGCTAAGGACTATTGCTACTTTTATGTGAAAATCTATTCATTTACAGAAATATTCCTCTCTCTACCAAATGGCTAAATGAGCCTCCCCTCCCCTGCAGAGGCCCTTTTGTCTTTTAAAATCAAATCACTGTTGCCAACAAAATAAGATTTATTATAACAACTTGTCTGCTAATTCATTCATTCAACAAATATTTATGGAGTGTGTATACATGCCAGTCTGTTTCAGGAGATTGAGATTAAGCAGTGGATAAAAAAATACTACCCTTTCAGATCTTCTGTTTACCCCAGACTGGCAATAAGAAGGAGTCACTGGTAGTGCAAAGGGTTAATGTGCTCAGCTTTCAACTGAAGGGCTGGAGGTTCGAGTCCACCCAGACGTGCCTCAGAAGAAAGGCCTGGTGATGCACTTCTAGAAAACGAGCCACTGACAAACCCAATGAAGCACAGTGCTGACACACAGTGGGTAGCTATGAGTTGCAGTCAACTCAAGGGCAACTGGTTTGAGTGGTAAGACAAATTAACCAAACAATGAACCCATTAAGAACAGTGTAAAACAACTTTACTTTGAGGGCTGAACTGATTCTTACCACAGCAAGGATCCCAGTGGCACAGTCCCACACATTAGAGGATACTCAGTAAACAAGTAGTTTCCACAAATGAAACATAAACATGCCAAAACCACACACCACACACCTTGAAGCTTATGTTTTTCTCACAGTACAAAGTAGAAGGAAGCATTTTACAAATGTTACTGCTCACCCTTCCACATTCCAGTGAGGTCGACCAGGGGCCATTACTGGAATCTGGAAGGAGACAATGACTTGTGGCTGGGGAGAGGACAGCAGTCAACAGAGGCTGCCTAATCATCCAAGGCCGCTGTAGTCCACTCTCACACTGTCCTTGTTCCATGTGACTGGAGAATGAAGCCATTATTCACAAGATACAGTTCCCTCAAAAGTACGCAAACATGACTTCATTAAGCACACCTACGGCTGAGTCTTATTGTAGAAAGGAGTAACTTTTCATAAGGGCAAGAGGATCCCCCTTTCTCTGTGGGGGGGGCATGACCTTCAGCCAGTAGAACAGAGCTTCTTAGCCGGAATGCAGGGATTGTATCAACTTTTGAAAGGGCATTTAAAATCCGTGTGTATATCTGAGTAACGGGTCCATCATTGTTTTTCAAAGAGTCTCAAGGGGGTTGTGACCTTCCAAAAGCTTTAAAAACCTGAACATTAGAGGGTCTCTGCTTGTCCTCTGATGAATTAAACATGTAGCTGGAGTACAGTTTTCAGAAGGATCTGTCTGATTCCCAGCTTAACACTTGTCACAGTTTGGTTTAGTTTGCTAGGGAGATATGAGCCAGAAACAAAGTCAATAATCCTGAGGTGGTCCTTCAGGATCTGTCTGTCCCTTTTTATAAGGCAATGAATGACTCTTCTCCCTCAGGAAACTGGCTCCTCAAAAGGAGTCCCTTCAAGCCAGCAACTCACAGCAGAGGAGAGAGTTAACTTTTCTAAGACATTTCCCCTGGCAAAACTGAACTGTATGCCAGGCATCCATGTCAGCCTTTCAGAGCCACTACTGTTGTTCATCAGCAATGCTGTCGTATCCCACTGGCTTGTCCCCCCCACTCTCTGCTGGGTAATGCAGAAAAGGCCACTGGAGCTCTTGCTGTTCAAAATTACTGTCTTTGTTATTGTTTTGTCCAAGAGTCAATCTGCAGGATTTATGGCTAAAGAACCTGAAGAAGATCATTTCATCTCTGAGAAAAACTGTAATATGACTCTTGAAACCATCAGATACAGACACTATGGGAGAAAGAAAAAACAATATGGTGCCTCCTAGGAACATAGAGCCATATCCTGGAAGTCTTCTGGTAGGACTTTTACTTAGCTACTTTCTCAACTCTGAACACCTGCCTCTGTCCCTACTGTCTTTCACTAGACTCTAAACTCCTCAAAGATGAAGAAATGCCATACTCATATCTGCATAACCAGTGACTAGTGTGATGCCTGAAACATCATCATATACCCTATTGGCATTCCGAGGGTGGGAATGGAAAAATGAACTGACTAGAGGTGAAGGGCTCCAAGTATACTGACCCTGATAATAGGGTTACACATCATGGGGCTTAAAGAGTTTCTGGTCTTCTAAAATAATGTGCCCATGTTTGCACTTTACAATACAAATTAAAGGCAGTCCACAGGGAAGACAAGGTTTTTTTTTTTTTTAAAAGATCACATTATGAAAAAATACATTTCACAAATCTTTTCAGATTATAAAAGACCAATGTAGATAAATGTGATGGAACATCTCAGATACAATGCTATAAAAATGTAGCAAAATCAACTATTTTTGTTCCTGCATTTCAAAGTCACACTATAATTAAACAGTAATAAATATGTTATAGGAAATAATTAAAAGCACTGATTGCATCTTTGATATTTATCATCAGCTTTCCGTCTCAGAAACTGTCACAAGAGCAAAGAACACAATTTGCTTTCCTGAATATTTGGAAAAGCAGACATCAGCTTATATAATTTGGGAAAAGTTTTTAACATATCCTGAGTTGGCCTTAAATGTTTATTTTTTTAAAAAAAGCTCAAAAGCGTGGGTGTCTTCTCCACCCATTTGTAACGTTTATTCTATAATTCTCCATTAATGCTAAAATGTTTCTCCCAAGTGGCCTCAATTCTGACACTCAATTCTGACTCTAAATTAAAATGAGTTTTTAAAAGTTGTGTTTAAATAGAAACAAATTAACCTGCTAAGTTGTTCTGGCTCCAAATACATCAAAGGGTAGATATCATTTATGTGCTCTGACCAAATTAGGTCAATACATCTCACTTTAAACATCATAGTCATTTTCTGTTAATGTGTTTAAGTCCTATTTTAAATGCCTCTGACAACAAAAGAAAGCACTATAGACAGCCTGTGAGGGTGACTGATTAAATCTATTGTGTATGTTTAGATTTCCCCACAGGGATCTTGTTGAAGCTTTTTCCCCTTAATAACATCAAGATGGCACTTCAGACTCTATCTCACTAAGTTTTCAGAGGAGTGATAGGGCCTGCTGCCCTTCAGAGCTTAGCACAACAAACAGTGGTTAGAGGATTTCAATTAGCCAACTTTGACAAGTTACAGCGTAACAAAAGCCTGAGTGTGCAAGAACCACAGTATCGGCATGATTCTCACTTAGGTCACTGAGCAAGCTGACCTGTGGTCCAGTTAGCCAGTGAATGCTTTTCTTCTACAACAGTTATTAAGGGCACATGGAAGTTTCCTATTTAACTATATCCTGATATGCTTATTATTTCATAAAACAAAACAAGCTTCTCAAGGACTTGCTTTCTAGTAGCTCTGGGTTTTGTTGCCACCAACTGTATGGAAAGGTGTTTCTCCAAGGCTTGAAAAGGACTATTATTCTTTTATTTTGGCTACTTCACCTTTTCATTTGATGAGGATTTATATACAGGTATACTTATTCTGACTTGCTTCTTGGAGGAAACTGAGGAACTGTTCTTCACAACATTCTTTTGACCAGCATTTTCATCAGGGACTCACTAAGACATGGCCAAGGTCTCTACCAAGAACCATTTACTGCAAAACACTGTGAACCTGACAGAGGTACTTCAGCCAAAATGAACCTCATGCCACAGAAGTCACAGGTCTAAAGTTCAAGGAAAAGAAAAAAGAAAAATTCAGCAAGAAGAATCCATAAGTCTCTGCCGGACATTGTTCTCTCCACTATTTGCATTTGTTTCACCGTGTTGACTCAAATCTGTCAAAATTGAAAACAAGTATTTATGCCAGAAGTATACATATGCACACAGCATAATAAACTATTCTGCAATAAATCTATGTTATATTCTTTGCCTTACCAAGTTTTGCTTCATAGCCAAATTTCAAAGCACAGTGAAATTATTACAAGGCAATTAAATCAATAAACTTTGTTAGTTTTGAAACAGATAGAGAAAAACAGAGAAGGGGATCAGTGGTAGAGAGAGGAAAGCTAGTAAGACAAGACAAAAATAAGAGAGGGACAACCAGCAGGAATGCTTGAGCAAGAGGCACAGATGAGACAGAGAATGAATGATAAGGAGGTAAGAACAATCAGAAAAAGCACCAGACACTTTCCTTCTTTGGGAACATTGGGACAGCACCAATTCTTTTCCCCTCTCTCTTCATATGGTGGGATTCCACCCACAACCACTCTAGGAAGATGCTTTAACAATGGTAGGCAGGGTAAAGATCCTCAATCCTTCTTAAAATGTGGCTGTAATGGAACTCATGGGCTCACGCAGACTCCACCTGGAGGGCCAACCCTACCTTGGAGCTCTGCCGTCTGGTTTTCCTGTTCCTCTCTCATCATGCTTGGCACAGGCTTTGGAGTTTTGCCATCGACAATGTCCATCTTGATCATGCCAAGGTTAGTCAGAAGTAGCATCGGGTCAATTCCCTGACCACTGCTTTTGATATTTTCTAGTATCTTAAGACACTTGTATGACTTGAGTTCACTTATATTCTCTTCCAGGAAAAGATTGTAGAGGCTCAAGTCATTGTACCCTTCAGACTTGAAATGCAGAACATCAAACGTGGGCAAGATCTCATACACTTTGAGCACATCTGCCTTCTGCCGGAATGGGACAAACAGCGTGTAGATAACGACAGGAGCTAGCAGGACATAAACCACCAGGTTAATAAAGCTTAGCAGCTGGAAGATGCCCACTGCAATGAGTTTGCACTGGAACTGATTGGGCACAGTGCTGTCATTCCTCAGGATCCCTGACTTGATGCTGCAGACAAACTCATCTGAGAGTGAGGAGAGGCTGAAGTAATAGCTCAGGTAGACACATGCTAACAGTGTAATTGTGAGTGTTAGCACTCGGCAGCTGAGATATTTGACTATTAAATTATTAGAGTTTTTCTTTGTCTTCAAGTACTGCTCCACAATTGGGTACTTGAAGTGGCTTTCAGATATCTCCCACAAACTAGAAAAAGATACAAATAAAAATAATTTAAACCCTCAAAAAGACCATCACATATTAAAAGCATAAACACATTCAACAACATGACAATAAAAAAATCTCAAAGGCCTCCCTCTCACACTATTCTATCTATAACTTCATTAGAGTACTAGGGAATAAAATCAGGTTTAACCCTTTTGTGACCTGTGGGACACACAGTGCCCACTACATTTTAAAGGGAAAAATGGTTTATTGGGAAGAGCTATCCTACTTTTAGTTCGTGTTGCCATCTGATGGGGCCATGGATAACTGCATGAATCTGCAGAAATGGGCCTCATCTCATCAACCCCAAAACCAGAGACCCCTTGGAACATACGTATCCCCATTAATTGCATCAAAATCCACCATTACCTCAAAAAAATTTTTTCATTTCATTCAAAATGCTTTCCATTACTGAAAACATGGTTTCAACAAAAACTTCAAAGCAGAAAATAATTTGATTTTTTTTTTAAATATGGAACACTTCACAAATTTGCGCGTCATCCTTGTGCAGGGGCCATGCTAATCTCTGTTATCATTCCAATTTTAGTATATGTGCTGCTGAAGCGAGCACAGAAAATCATTTGGTTTTGAAAAGGTTTTTTTTTTTTTTTCAAAAAAAAAAAAAAAGAAAGCAGAAGGGAAAGCAGTAGTAAACCATTTTTCCCTTTAGTATTTTAGAGGGGCTAATTAGATCACTGCCCATCTGTCAATTTGCTGCACTGTAGTGGCTTGTGTGTTGCTATGATGTTGGGAGCTATGCCGCCAGTATCTCAAATACCAGCTGGGTCACACACAGTGGAGAGGTTTAAGTTGAAGCTAAGACAGACTAGCAAGAAGGCCTTAGCAAGCCACTTCCAAAAATTAGCCAATGGAAACCTTACAGATCACAACAGAACACAGTCCGATTTGCTTGCTTTGGACCTATTATCAGGAGGGATCAGTTGCTAGAGGAGAACCTCATGTTGGGTGAAAGAGAGGGTCAATGAGGGCATGTGTGAGATGGACTGGCAAAATAGCCACACCCATGGACTTGAACATGATGGTGGGCGTGAGGATGATGCAGGACCAGACGGCACTTCCTCCTGTTTTACGTAAGGTCGCCATGAGCCAGAGTCAACTTGATGGCAACTAACAACAAGTTATTCAAATGAGTTAATATTTATAAATTCTTAGAACAGTGCCTGGCCTTTGGTAAATGCTAAGTGTTGGATGAATAAGTTTGATAGCTCCTGTTCTGCAGTTTTTAAACAACAATCTTCTATGAAATTGTACAGAATACCACAGTGAAGAATTTCTGGGCCCAACTAGAACACCAACATATATGCCTTCTCCAGGTGAGGGGAAGGGAGGCAGATAGCTCAGTGGGTATGGGCAAAGGCTCTAGGACAGACAGACATGGCTCAGCTCCTGGGTCTTCCACTTTTAGCTATAGGACTTTGGCATATTTTCTAATTTCTCTGAGCTTCAGTGCTTTTTATCTGGAAAAAAAGAGGGGTTATGATAAAGGCACTTGGTTGATAATGCTGTTCTGAAGATTAAATGAGATAATAATGTATTTAAAGCACTTGACACAGGATCTGAGTTAAGTATTCAAAAAAGACAGCTATTAATCTTACTGTTATATTGTCAATAAGAAAAACCACAGGAAAACTGTGAAAAAGGCAAGTCATTGCCTACTTGTTCCCCATTTCTGACACATCTTTCTCTTAAGTGCATTTGCCTCTTAACACTGTGCTATTGCTATTTCTTTTTTGGTGAAAATACACCCAACAAAACACATCACTTCAACAATTTTTACATGCACAATTCAGTGACATTCTTCAGGTTACATTCTTTAAGTTGTGCCACCTTTCTTGACAACCTTTTCCAAACTATTGCACCCTCATTAACACAACTCCCTGCCCCCCTAATTTTCTCATCTATCCTTTTGAGTTGCTGTTGTCAATTTTATCATATATATACATAGTTCTTTTAAAACGTATATTGCTTAATGCAGTCTTTCTTTTGCAATTAAGCTAAACTATTATTTGGTTCAAAGATGACTTCAGGGGATAGTTTTGGTTTAAGGTTTAAAGATTTCTTCAGGGTAATAGTTTCAGGGGGTCACTCAGCCCCAGGGACTCTACAAAGGCTGGATTCCATGGAAATTGTCAATTCTGTTCAACACTTCCTCCCTTTTGATCATGGTTCTTCTATAGAGTCCTTGACCTAAATGTTCAATAATGGTAGCTAGGCACCATTCAGTTCTGGTTTCATGGCAAAGGAGTAAGCTGTCTTTGGAGTTGATTGGATATATATTCTATTTTCTCTACTGATTCCTGGCCCTTCTTCCTCTGGTGCTGTCAGTGAATTGAAACCAACTGCTGGTTGGTTGGATGGCTGCTTATGAGCCTTTAAGACTCCATGACTCTGTGGTTCTTCTTTGAGGAGGAGGCCATAGCAAGCAAGCTACCTGTACGTGTTAACCTGTTAACACTGCTACGACTTCATTTTAAAAGCTAAGCGAGTGATGTTCCACTGAACAAGGACTCTTGATACAATGGCAGGGTTTAACAGGCAGGCAGGGTGAGATTTGGGGAGAGCTTTCCTGACTCCCACAGACTGTCACTATGTCAATGACCTTCCCCACTACCTACTTGCAATTGGAGCACCAGGCAAAGCCTGGCAGGTGAAGAACTTGTACTACAAAGCCTGACAAGATACCTGCTGGAATTACTTTACCTTTGCCCTACATTGTCATTAATGGCCGTAACTGGGTAGGAACCATCTCTCATGTCGCAGTCACGGACACTCTTTGCAGCTTTGATTGCGCGGTTGTAAACTTTGTCAAGTTCTTCCATGATAAACTTCAGATCTGAGCAAAGATGAGGAACAGCTGCAAAACGCCAGAACAAGGAGGGCAGGTACAAGAGGATTGCAAGTAGTAACAGGATGTAGGGGAAAAACTGAAAAAGAAGAGCAAATCATGGGACTAACAGAGATGCTCTCCCCCAACACATGCCCACACACACGTGCACACACACAATGAAGTAACTAAATTTAAGTGCTGCTCTCATTTGAGACATATGTGCCCATGTTGCTTGTGGCAATGAGGCTCATTACCTAATAACTAGTGTCTTTAATTTGCCTGTTGAGGTAATACTTGGAATTACCTTTTGGTTTCTTTCAACAGACATGAATTTAAAGAAACAGACAACTACATGGTGGTACATGGTGTCTCTTTTCTAAATACTGAAGAAAAAGAAAAAATTATGCCCATGTTCTTCAGCATAATCTCTGAATAAAATCTCAGGTAAATGTCACAAAGACCTTTTCTGGGTTGTTTTTGTTTGTCTGAACTGTTGTGGTTTTAAGAGACAACTAAGGGTTAGAGTTCTGTTGCTTTCCCCCTCTTTAGAATCTGGGAGAATCCCACAGAAATATATAACTTTGCCCAAAACCAACTGGAAAATTTGAATTTGGTGAGCCAGGAATTATCCTAGTAAAATAGCTGAAATAAAATTCACCGAATGCTAGTGCAAGAATGGACCTTGAGGAGATTCCAACACTTGTGTTTTACAGTTGGATAATCTGAAATCAAGAGAAGCTGACCATAATGGGTAACAATATCTCCAGGAAAGCGCTGGATCTGGGGGACATGTGTAAACACACCAGAGAGGACTTGGAAGTTAGGGAGAAACTTGGCCACCATGTCTGCTGGCTGGTCAGGACATATTTAGCCTTAAGACTTAGGAAGACGATGAACTGCAGTCAGCACAGACTTCAATCCAAGCTCTATCACTCCCAGTTGAGTGGCCTTGAGAATCTCTGACCCAGAGAATTTCTGACCTTCAGTTCTTCTATCTATGAAATGTAATGTAATATAGGTATTATGGAGATAAAAGTTGATAATTTGTGGAAAAAAATGCTTGACATGGTGCCTGGAGTATAAATGTTATTGTTGTTGTTATGTGCCGTTGAGTCGGACCCGACTCATAGCGACCCCTCCTTGGGTTTCCGAGGCGGTATCTATACGGAAGTAGATTGCCCAACCTTCCTTCCGAGGAGTGGCTGGTGGGTTTGAACCGCCAGCCTTCTGGTTAACAGTCAAGCACCTTAGGCACTATGCTACCAGAGCTCCTTGGAATATAAATAGGCAGCTAAAAATGAAGTAAAAATGAAATATTACCTTCAGTTGTTGTCACAATGACCCCAACAAGGTCTGTGTTGATGGCTCCATTTTGCAAATGAGAAAGAGGAAGCCTAGAGCAGTTTCTGAGCCCCAGATCACAAAGCTGGTGAATGACCGAGTCAGAATTTGAACTCTGACTTCTCTGACCCCAGAGCTATTCCTTTCCCACCATAATTTGCTGCTATCAATTCAATTCCAACTCACAGCCACCCTACAGGACAGAGTAGATCTGTTCTGTAGGGTTTTCAAGGCTATAAATCTTTATGTAAACAGATTGCCACATCTTTCTTCCACAGAGAAGCTGGTGGGTTTCAACCACCAACCTTTCAGTTAGTAGCCAAGGGCTTAATCACTGTGCCACCAGGACTCCTTTTCTCCTACCAAAAGACACTGTAACTTACTCTACTTCTCTACAACACTTTTCCCTACCTTTGGACTGGTCAATTCTCAAAGGCCCTCAGAGTTGTAATTGGAAGAGGATACAATGGCCTTGGAGTTGACACAAAACTCCCACCCCGAACACCTCTGGGAGTGGGCAAGGGGCCTAACACCATGACCATCACTATAACTTTAGATGCTCAGAAAGGACAGCATAGGGTTTTCATGTACCCTTCACATTCTTTTATATATTTATATTGTGATTTGGGCAAAGATTTACAGAGCAAATTCACTTTCCATACAGCAGTACACATATACTTTGTCTCATGTCATTGACTACAGTTTACCACAATGCAACAGCTCCCCTCCCAACTCCTCCCCATAGCCACCTCTTCCCAGTGTCCATCCCTCCATACGCTCCTGCCCCCTGAGCTGTCTCCCTGTGCACACAGCCCTTCTTTCTCCAATGATTGTTCTCTCCAAGGAGTGTATCTACCTGAGGTAAATGTTCAACTCATATGCCTGTCTTTTGTTTGGCTGGAAA